AAACATTACTCATAGGGAAAAAAAGAATTGGCCGTTCATATTCAACAGCCTGTGCTGTCAATAGACTCTTTCTGTATGACACATTTTTCCTAAAACCATGTTGCATGGATTCATATGTGTCGCACAAGGAAATCATTTTACACGGTATAGGCCATAGGCTGTTGAACGCATCCAGCGCTAAAACCATTACAAAGAGCTTTTGCAAAAGTGGCATCATGTAGGGAGAGTACTCCTACTGGACAAGCTTTTTTCAGTGGCTGCAGCTGAACCAAACATATATGTAGTAAGATAAGCTAGCATTCACAAGCAGATTAACTCAAACCCTTATTTTAGAATATCTTTATAATTGTAATAGAATATATTTGCATGACAAAGATTAAATATATCAATTTTACAAACTGCAATCAGCCAATCACCCAATTAGGTGGAATTTTCTATGAGATAATCTCTCAAATGAGACCCATTTAAATGGGTTTTCTCCTATGGTTTAATAATTTGCCTCAATCACAGATAAAAGTTCCCATGTCTTACAGTAAATACCACCAATGACTATATAATCTAGGTGGTAAGTTGGCATGCTTCCTCACCCTTGCATAAAAATCTAATAAAGCAGGTTATTTGGGCTGGCTGTCCAAAAGTTTGACAACTTTGGCTGTCACCAAGGCTCCCCACACAACATGTATTCATACATCATGAAGGATTAGCAAGAGATAGCCTTCTTGATAGCCTAGACGGTTGAACATGGACAGTCAAAACTTTATTGCTGTTTTCCGTAGATGATTTATTCTTGAACTTACTGGCATATTTAGGCGACGGGTCCTCTTACAAGCAAAAATTCTGCATGCACTCTACAAATAGAGCATCCATCTCACATTGAGAACATGGTGCAGGTAGGCCCAACTCAAGCCTGAGCCGATCCATACCAAAGTTTTTCACTGGTTAGGTTTGGATTTTTTGTTCTCGGGTTGGGTTAAGGCCCAAGACTTTAATTTTTTTTTGGGGGGGTTGGGCTCAAGCCTAGCCCTTCATGCATATTTATTTACATACATATGTGTATATATATATATATATGCATATATGTATATATATTTGTATAAATGTATACATGCATGTGTAATTTTAGAGTGGGTTTATTGACCAACCTATGCTCGGCCCATGCCCAAATCCTCCCCAAATGCATCAAATTACAATGCTGAATGGGATCAGGTTGGAAACCCAAATCTTAGGGCTGGGCCTAAGTTGACCATAAACATGGCCCAACCTGTCCAACTTGCAACTTTACTTCCTATAAATTTAACATATAGTAAAGAAATATTTCTGACATACAGTTAGATGCCATGTGGGCAAGGTTTTTGCTTACAGGAGATCTTGTCACTAAGGCTCAGTTTGGAAGGAGTACAAAACAAATACGTAGATTGTAGAGTACAAAACCTTGTATTTTATATTATTTTGTATATATTTGCGCTGTACATATTTGTATTTGCTTAGCCTAAGTGCTACAAGACAAGTGTATAACAGAGATTTGGGATCAAATCCCACTACCACAAGATTTAGGGGCTAAGGGTATGAGGATGGGTTACCCCTATTGTGTAGTCCAAAAACATGGAAGGAGAGAGAGAGAGAACTGAAAAACTTATTGCCTTCTCTTCCAAAGCTGGATAGCTTACTATAATGTTTTATTATTTAAACATTTTATCCACTGACAAACAAAATAATAAAATCATTTTTTAAGCAAAAGAGTAAAAACATTATGGATACAACCTACTCCCAAAGAAACTGCTTTGCAAACTCTGGGATGAAAATAATGAGCCCAAAATCCAAACTCTGTGTAGGATGGATCTATCATGGCTCTCTAATGGCAAACACAAAGACTCTTCATTTAAGGAACTCCAAACTAAGGTGGAAGGTAAGTTGGATAGTTGGAAAGCCTAGGTTCTATCACAAGCTGGTAGAACAACCTTGATCAAATTAGTAGCCCAAGCAATACCATCTTACACCATGCAGACAAATCTTCTCCCAAAGGAAGGTGGAAACAGCACAGAGAAATTTTTGGTGGAAAGCTAATAAGAAAATTGACTCCGGGCTAAGGCTCAAAATATTGATACATATTAGGCCATATCATACCAAGAGCTTCCTAATACGTCCCTCCAGAAAGTGTTTAAGGGTCTAACCTGCTTTAGGGGGTATACAAGCCTTAAACTGACCCCTCTGAATCAGGTTGAAGAAAAAAAAAAGGAGAGACCCTTTAACATTGCTCCGAACACAATATTTCTTAGAACAAGATCTGCAAAATGAAAAATGAAGAAGCGTGGGACTTCAGAAAATGATTGACATGAACAAACCGCTCTTTTCGAAACAAACTTGGACTTGTAATCTAAGTTTCAAAAGTGTAAAGGCATAATTAAACCGCAGGGTGAGGAATCATAATATGGTACAAGGGAGCCTTTAAAAAAAATATGGTACAAAGGAATTAATGATGCATTGATGCATTGATGCATACAAATTCTATAAAGAAATAATGCACAAATCAACCAAATGAATAGAATGCAAAGTGGTGCGTGCAGGATAGAATGATAGTCTTAAAAATTGATACATATTTATAAATACGAGACACATGCATTATGCAATAGGGGTGAACATTTGGTATATTCTGTTAAAAAAATAAATCAAATAACTCAAAGTTTTAAAAACCGAATTAGAATAACGAAACCGAAACTGAAACTGAAATATGGGAAAACTAAAATAATCAAAACTAAAATTTTTTATTCGGCTTTTGATTAAAACCAAATTTCAATAATATATATACTATATACTATATTATATGTTATATGTTATATAGCAAAGTTCTATTAATTTGATTTTTTCAGTTAATTGAATTTATAATTTTAAAAACCGAAACCAAATTAATCAAAAACCGAAATATTTAAACTAAAAAGAAAACAAAATCAGAGTTTTCAGTTTTAACCAAATAATGCTCACCCCTAAATGGTTGTGATACTTATCATTCCAATCACCAATCTGAAAGTGACATGTAGCCCTAGTCAAGAGTAAATCGGAGAAATTACCGATGAGACAATATAGGGAAATTGAAGCATGAATTGGGAGGTTTGACCATTAACGAAACCTAATCTAATACTCCTTTTTTATATACAACCATTCAATCCAAGGTATTCTCAACTATATAATACTTAGGCTCAATTTGGAAGGAGTACAAATACAAATATGTACAGTGCAAATATATACAAAATAATATAAAATACAAGGGCTTGCACTTTACATATTTGTATTTGTACTCCTTCCAAACTGAGCCTAAATTCTTTATGTTCTTTTCCTCTTATTCATCTGATTTGCACCTTCAAGAATTCTTCCCTTAAATAACTCTAGGCTCAGTTTGGAAGGAGCACAAATGCAAATATGTAGAATGTAAAACTTTATATTTTGTATGTATTTATACTATACATATTTACATTTGTACTCCTTCCAAACTGAGGCATAAGATATTTGATTGGTTCTTTTTGTGCTTATAAGTTGCTGAATTCTTCCAATTCTCCAGTCGTTTGGTTTATCATAATGGGATTATCAATCCATTCTAGGCGGAATGAGATTTTTCCCATACGGGGAAATGACCATTCTACCCCTGGAGTGTACTCCTCATTCTTTCTCTCTCTATTTATTTATTTTTTTTGAAAAATAGCATCCATTTCCTATTTGATCAAAAGTTTGAACTTTCACAAGCATTCCTCCATCCAACGTCAGCCACTGTCGACCACCGTTTTTGGCAAGGCAAGACTAGTCGCCCAGCAGCTGCCAATTGGTTGCCGAGCCAACCTTCACCCAACATTTCACATGCCTTTTTCCCATTATTACTCTTCTTTTATTTTCTTTATCTCCTTTTGGTCCTCTCTTCCTCTTCAACCGAAAATTTTGATTTCGGTTTTTGGGTTTGGTTTTTCGTTTTTTTGTTAAATCAGTTTGGTTAATTTGATTTCAATTTTTAAAATTAGAATTTCGATTAATCGAATTAACCAAACTTTCTATTATTATATATAATATACAATATATATTTTATATAATATGTAAGATATAAAATATAATATATTTTATATTTATATATTAATATATAATAAAATAAAATTTGATTTCATAATATATAATATATTATATGTTATAATAATAATAGAGTATATATTATTAAAATTCAGTTTTAATCGAAATAATAAAAAACCGAACAAAAAATATTAGTTTTAATTATTTCAGTTTTTCTATAATTAGGTTTCGATTCAGTTTTCATTTTTTAATTTGACTTATTCAATTCAGTTTTTAATCAAATAAACCGAATGCTCACCCCTACTTTCTTCCCTATCATTTTGTCTTTTTTATCTTATTATCTCTCCCTTTTTTTCTTCTTTTTCTTCTTGTGAAATCCGATTCTGAGTATTAATTAAACCAAACGGACCTTAAAAACAAATGAAATCCGATTCTAGATATTATGATTCGGATTCCGCTCAAAACGCCAAGCAAAGGGACCATTAAACAAATTACTCACGTTGTCCTTTGGTATTATTTGATTTATAATGACCAAATTAACCCTATCCACCATGTTAACTGTTAAGCTTTAATTTTAAAAAGGTGAATCATTATTTCCGAGGCTTCGTAAGCCTCGCCTCAAAAATATGGCCTCGTGCCTCAAGGCTTGTTAGCGAAAGTCGCCACGTATCTCAGCAGTTCGCATTTACGCTCGCATCTCCCAATTCGTCAATCGGCGGTTCGCGCCTTTTCCTTTTCTGGTTTATCATACGTGTCACCTGACTCAGACATCCTTCCGGCTTCAGTCACGAGCGACCCGAGTTTTAGTATCCTTGGCTATCGGCTCATCGTACTCCTCACTCGTTCAAAGCCTCACACGTGTCCTTCTCCAGGAGATATCAGAGTTCAGAGACCCGCTCTTAGCTCGTCTCGTCTGGACGATTCCCCGCTCCCCGCTCCCCTCTCCCCTCTCCCCTCTCCCCTCTCCCCTCTCCATTCTCATCTCCAGCGCTCATCTCAATATACTAGATTACCATCGTTTGCGTCGTCTTCACTCCTCACTTCCTCTTAGAATAATAGAACCAAACAAAGACACTAATCTCCACCTCGGCTCTTCCTTGATTGAAAACTTTGAAATGTCTGGAAATATCTTCTCTAAATTGTCTTTTCTAGTTGCCCATTAACCTCTCCTTCTCGTCCGTCCGTCCGTTTTTTTATTTATTTTTATTTAAACCAAAGTTAATCGCTCGGGTGTAAGAGTTGAAACGGCGCTTCTACTTTTCATACAAATCGTTGGCTAAGCAGAGGACGGATGTATGTTTTTTTCTAGATAGAGTTGCATTCACGTGTATGGTATCTGTTTCGTATCGTGAGATGATTTTCCAGGTGTCGAGCTTCTCTTTTTCGATCAAGTAATAAATACTCGCTCCGAAGAAGAGTACTCTTACTTATCAAAAGAAGAAGAAGAAGAAGAAGAAGAGTACTCTGCTCCATGAACTGCGCTTGAACAACTTGGTGGGTAAGTCTTAGTATGACTGATTTTCTTGATTCATTTCCTTTCCTTGTTTTACATTTCTGATACTCAATCGAACTTGATGGGCTTCCAATTATCTGACTATTTAATCTGTTAATGGAAATTAACGATTTTTCTTCGTTGGAGATGAACATTTTGAGTCAATTCTTATTCTTACGGATTTTTGCTTGAAGTAGCGGTTTCTGGATTCCTATTCGGACAGGATCTGTCTTTTGAGATACTTATCTGATTTTTCCCGTTTCAACTGCAATTAAAATTCACCTTAGTTATCTATGTAGTCGTTTCTATAGAAAACTAAAAAAAAAAATCAATGAGTTCTCTCTCTCTCTCTCTCTCATCTAGTTCCTTTCTTCCTTTTATTTTCTCATGTTTTTGCTATTTTAATCAGTTGACCAGCTGTCAACTTGCTGTTAATTAACTTTTTGGTAATTAAGATAATACTCCCCTAAAGGTGATTTTCTGAATTAATGACCGTTCTCCTATCTATAAAATGGCTCTCATTCATGAATTCAAATTCGTTTAAGCCATTACAGCTTCTTTTTCATTCTTGAATTCAATTCCCCCCCTAAAGGGGTGATTTTTTGAGTTAATCAGCATTCTCCTATCTATAAAATGGCTTTCATTCTTGAATTCAAATTGTTTAAGCTGTTGCAGTTTCGTTTTCATTCTTGAATTCAAATCCCCCCTAAAGGTGATTAAGGTGATTTTCTGAGTTAATTACCATCCTCCTATCTATAAAATGGTTTTCATTCTTGAATTCAAATTCGTTTAAGCCATTACAGCTTTGTTTCCCTTCCTGAATTCAAATTCTCCCCAAAGGTGATTTTCTGAGTTACTTACGTTTCTCCCATCTATAAAATGGTTTCCATTCTTGAACTCAAATTCGCTTAAGTCATTGCAGCTTCGTTTTCAGATTCAAAAAGTTCGTTTTGTTGAAACCTTTATCCGTATCTTCTTAATTCGTGTAAGCTCTTGAGATGTAAAAAGAGGATATTTTTAGTTATTTCGTTTAAAATTTCTAAAGTTTATATGTTGCTTTTATGAGGGTAGTTTTAATTCACATGGTAGTCAACTAACGGCAGTTTTGTTTATTTGCTCTTTTTTTTTTTTTTTCTTTGTGAGCAGTTTCGGAAAAGCAGTTTCCTGAGTTGGCATGGCAACCACAACAAAAACCGAAGGTTCTGTTCCTGGAACTGCAAAAGTTCCTGCGGAGGCACATCCCTTGGCAGAAGAATCATCAAAGATTGCGTCTAATATTAGTTATCATGCATGTTATAGTCCTCACTTTTCTCCTTTCAAGTTTGACAGAGAGCAAGCCTACTATGCAACAGCAGAGAGCGTCCGAGATCGCCTGATACAGGTAAGACTGCTAGAAGCCAGACAGATTAATTGATTGACTGCTAATTTCTTGCAATCTAGTATTAGAATCATATATAGCAGGTTTTGCATTCTAAGCATCAAGAAATATCTCAGAATCTAAAGTAGGATCTCGAGCATAATGCCCGAAGTGTTAGTAGACAAATAACAATCTCATGTCAACTTTTTATTTGCTACATAGTTATGTATACTAGAGATGCCTAGACTGGAGAAAGGGTAGGCATTTTGTTATTCAGCACCTCATCAATAGAAGCTTGACTTTTACTGAATATCTCCCAATATCTTGTTTAATTTGCTTGAGGTTTTCTAATGGGAATTCAGTCTCTCCATTATTCAACTTCTGCAGCAATGGAACGAGACTTACTTACATTTTCATAAAGTTGATCCAAAGCAAACTTACTACCTGTCGATGGAATATCTTCAAGGACGAGCTTTGACCAATGCAATTGGAAACTTGAACATCCAAAACGCATATGCTGAGGCCTTGGTTAAGTTGGGTCATGAGATGGAGAACATAGCTGAACAGGTATCTAGCCTTCTATAACTCTTATTATGTATTCATATTGTCAAAATCCTTTATCTGTTTTCTCATATTTGTCTTCCATTCTGTTAAATATGCCTTCTTACCTCCTAAATATGGTATAATTACTGATTCATAAGGTCAGGTCTCCATTTCTGGTCCAATTCAGTTCAAATCAATGTCGTGAAACTCTTCTCGTCAAGTTATGGAGAATCCTAATAGGCACCAGGCACCAATAGATTTTCAACTCCTTGGGTGCCTTCCTCCTTTTTGTGAAAATTCTACCTGTCTAGTTTTTTGCAAGGTTCAAAGTATCGATACGTATCAGCCCGTATTGGCCGATATGTATCGTGCCGATTGCTTACTGATACGTCCCTCTAGGGGTTGTATTGGGTCAGCCACCGGTTCAGAGGGTATCCGGGCCTTAAACCGACCCCTCTGAACCGGTTTCGAAAAAAATAAATAAAACGTAAAAAAATGTACCGACACAGGGGCATATCGGCCCATGTCGATATTTAGAACCTGGGGTTTTTGATGAATCATTTTATAGTTATTGTAGTTTTCTTTCTGTTTTTTTCCCCAATTTGAGGTGTCCACAAAACTAGCAACTGCTCTACCTACTAGGAATTCCCCACAGGATTGGAACATACGACCTCCCATGAGAGGATGCTATGTGCCAGTGGAGCAAGAGGGCATTGGCATGTATCATAATTATTCATGATCTATTGTTTACTTATTGTGATTAATTCCTTAGTAAAACCACAAGCTGCATTGCCATGACACAGTTCTTTTACCAATATTGGTTCCATTCTGCATTCACCAATGCAATTTATGTATAGACAGATTGTGGGATGTGTTTATGATCAATCCAAGGTTCAGAATGACGACAGTTAATATGAGGTTCATCTTTGTAGGAGAAAGATGCAGCCCTTGGGAATGGTGGTCTGGGAAGGCTTGCATCATGCTTTTTGGACTCGATGGCAACTTTGAACTTGCCTGCTTGGGGTTATGGTTTACGGTACAGATATGGACTGTTCAAGCAGAGAATTACCAAGGAGGGTCAAGAAGAAACTGCTGAAGATTGGCTTGAGGTTTGATTTGAATTAGAATCCTCAGCAATCAATTGGTTTTTCTTCATTTATAACTTCCCCGGTAATTTCTGATGGGCTTTCTGCAGAAGTTCAGTCCCTGGGAAATTGTCCGGCATGATGTCATGTTTCCTATTAGATTTTTTGGTCAGGTTGAGGTCTCTCCTAGTGGATCGTAAGTATTATGACTTGTTTATCTGTCAAACAGATCTTCACATCCTCTGTTATGGGAACTTTAATTGTTTTATACTGAAGCAACAAAAGAATGTTGGATTTGTTTCCTTTCTTATACTCATATTGCACTTTGCTTTCTTCCCAACCTTTAGTTTAAGAGGTGTTAACATCCTTATATTCTTTCTTGATGCCTTTCATTTTAATTGCTTGACAGTCGAAAGTGGGTTGAAGGAGAAATTATCCAAGCATTGGCCTATGATGTGCCCATTCCTGGATACAAGACCAAGAACACTATTAGTCTTCGTCTTTGGGATGCAAAAGCTGGAGCAGAAGATTTTAACTTATTTCAGTTTAATGATGGACAGTATGAGTCTGCTGCACAGTTTCATTCTAGAGCTCAGCAGGTTAATATCATTTTCCAAAAAGCTAGACCTTTGATATAATCAATGATTAACGTATCAGTATCGAGTATCGTATTGGACCACTTAGATACGGATATGGATATGCTTTGGAAACGCATGGATATGAACGAAAAATATGGATACACAGAAAAATGATTATATGTGAATTATTATATTGATTATTTTCTATTTTAATATTTTTAATTTTTAATATTAGCCAAAAAGTCAACTAAGAATTAATTCTCAAATATTTAGTTAACAATATTTCTATTTTTGTAAACAATAAACATGTTATTATAAAATGTAATTAAATATCAATTAAAATTTTATAAAAATATATAATATTAACTTAAAACATATCAAACATAATAAAATTTTTAAGATACATATCATATGCAAATTCATAATTTTTAACTACTAAATAATTATTCCATTATTAATATTTTTATTTCCATAAATTTTATGAGATAAAAAATCATCTTTTGATATAAATGTATATTAGTTTATTTGACAAATTCAATTTATATTATATTCCCAAGTATTTTCTAAACAATATTTTTATTTTTGTAAAAAATAAATATGTTGTTACTTAATGCAAATTAAAATATTAATTACTAATTTATAAAAATGTTAAGATACATATCATGCTCAAATTTATAAATTTTAAGTATTAAAATAATTATTCTATTATTAATATTTTTATTTGTATAAATTTCTTGAAATTAAAAACCACTTTTTGATATAATTGTGGATTTGAGAAATTATTTATTCCATTAGTTTACAAAATACTAATTCTGAATATTAATTTTTTTAGTTTACAAAATACTAATTCTGAATATTATTTAGATTGCATGTGAAATTTAAGTAAAAGGTATTTCATTTCACTTATTATCGAGAGTTGAAAGTTGGCTTATTGGTTTAAGGTTGCGCTTAAGGTTTAGAGTCTTTAGACATTTGGTGGCCTGGGTTCAAATCACACGAGCTCCATTTTTTAATATGGACACGAACCTGGGAGTGTCGAGTGCAAACCGCGAAGTGCGAACACGTCTTTGTATTGGCGTGTATCGGTCCGCGGCCAACGCAATACGGGTCGATACGAATGCGCATCGTTCTGATATGCATGATTCAGGAGGTATGGGTTTAGTTGTAGCGTATCTCGTATTCCCTCTGGCCAATACCAATATCGTATCGATATTTAAATCCTTGGGTATCATAGCAAAGTTAGCTTGTATTTTTTTATACATACATATATGTTGGCTCTTAACTAGTATAACTAAGGCTCTATTTGGAAGGAGTACATATACAAATTTGTAGAGTGTAAAAACTTTTTATTTTGTATGCATTTGTACTGTACATATTTGTATTTGTACTCCTTGCAAACTGAGCCTAAGCTCCTTTCTCTTACTTGCAATTTGTTGCTTCTTTTCCACAAACTATTGTGTAACCTATATTGCAACTTGTCAATTATTAATTCCATGATATGTTTTTTGGCATTGGTTATGGGTGTCCATTCCCATGTCTGTACCGTTTGATTGCCTGATGAAGTTGTATCACATTCTGCCACTACAGATTTGTGCAGTTCTATATCCTGGAGATACTACAGAAAATGGAAAGCTTTTACGACTGAAGCAACAATATTTCCTTTGCAGTGCCTCACTTCAGGTATGACTATTCAAGTTTCTTGCATTAGTTGTGTTTTAACAGTTGTGTTTAAGCAGTTCAAACCAATCGGTCGACCATAATGTAGATTAGTCTCTAATTAATTGTACAATGACTAAACTACCCCCACTTAAGTATGGGACAGGAAGTCTCTATTAGAATTTCCACATAAGCACATAACTTAACTAAATAAAATTACTAATCTACCCTTATTTGGCTAGTTCTAACACTCCCCCTCAAGCTAGAGAATATATGTCATATAATCCCAGCTTGTTACATATATAGTTCATTCTCCCTGAGCTTAAGCCTTTTGTAAACAAATCTACCCATTGATCACTTGAGCCCACATGTTTTGTGCTTATCTCTCCAGTAAGGACCTTCTCCCTCACAAAGTGGCAATCAATCTCTATGTGCTTTGTTCTCTCATGAAAAACAGGGTTAGATGAGATGTGGAGTCCAGCTTGATTGTCACAGTACAATTTCATAGGTCTGTCCATGGAGAATCCAATTTCTTGTAGGAGATTCCTCGGCCATACTAATTCACATGTAGTGTGTGACATGGCTCTTTATTCGGCTTCAGCACTACTCCTTGCCACAATGGTCTGCTTCTTACTCTTCCATGTCACCAGATTTCCTCCAAGAAATGTGCAGTAACCTGTAGTAGATCTTCTATCCGACACTGAGCCTGCCCAATCTACATCTATATACCCAATTACCTCAAGTCTTCCTCCTGGCTTGTACAATAACCCATGGTGTGGAGCTCCTTTCAGGTACCTTACAATTCTAAGAACTGCATCCTAGTGAGGTATCTGAGGATTCTGCATAAATTGACTCACCACACTAACTGCAAAGGAGATATCTGGTCTTGTGATAGTCAAATAGTCCAGCTTCCCCACTAACCGTCTGTATCTTCCCCTGTATCACTGCTCAACTTAGCATTTGGTTTCATGAGAGTTTCAGTCGGTTTTGCACCTAACAATCATGTTTCATCCAATAGATCAAGAACATATTTTCTTTTGCACAGGTTTACACCTTGTTTTGATCTGGCAACTTCTATACCCAAGAAATACTCAACTTCTCAAGGTCTTTTGTTTGAAAATGGTTTTACAGAAAGACCTTTAGTTTATCAATCCCCAATTTGTCACTGTCAGTTATGACAATATCATCCACATAGACCACTAATAAAATATTTTCGGCTTCTAAATCATAGCTGAACACTGAGTGGTCAACCTGACATTGTTTCATTCCAAAATTCTTCACCACTTCACTAAACTTCCCAAACCAAGCACGAGGCGATTGTTTCAACCCATAAATTGCCTTTTTCAGTCTGCACACCTTACCATCCTTCCTCTGAGCAACAAACCCATGTGGTTGCTCCTTACATGCCTCCTCCATAAGGTCACCATGAAGGAAGGCATTTTTAATGTCAAGTTGAAACAAGGGCCAATCATACATAATTGCCAGGAAAATTAAGACACGAACGGAGCCAATCTTAGCCACTAGAGAGAAGGTCTCCATATAGTCCACCCCATACAACTATGAGTAACTTTTAGCAACAAGTTTGGCCTTCAAACACTCCACACTACCATCCGGCAAGTATTTAACAGTATACACCCATTTACAACCCACAACATGTTTACTGGGAGGAAGAGTAGTGAGCTCCCACGTTTGAGTATGCTGAAGGGCAGAGAGTTCCTCCTCCATTGCCTGTTGCCACACAGGTGAGGTAAGAGCCTCCTGGACATTCTTAGGTATAGAAATAGATGACAACAATGAAACAAACTGGCGATGTGAAGCAGAAAGGCGAGAGACAGAAACAAAATTGGAAATGGGATGGAGGGTACAACTACATTTACCTTTCCGTAAAGCAATGGGAAGATCAAGTCCTGAAGGTTTTGGGGAAGGAGCAACAACAGGATCCGCAAACAAGGTAGAAGCTAGAGGAGGAGCCTGTGTCTGTCTATGAGTACAGACGTGCCAGATCGGTGGCTGTTCAATAGGAATTTGCATTGGAGGAGGTGAAGGGTCAACCCCAATTGGAACAACCGGAACGGGATCACGGACTGGAAGAGGAAGAGGAAGCAAAGGTGGAGATACCGATACTTCAGGTCTCGAGAAGAAGGGGGTAGACTCAAAAAAGGTGACATCAGGATAGACATAGAACTTCCAAGTAATGGGATTGTAACACATACCCTTTCTGGGTCCAAGAGTAGCCAAGAAAGACATTTAATAGAGTGTGCATCCAGCTTGTCTATCCCAGGACTCAGATTTTGAACAAAACGCACACAACCAAAGACCCGGGGTGTTAATGGAAAGGGAGACATGGTGGAGAACAAAATAGAAAAGGGAGACCGACCATGAAGGATGAAGGAGAACATCCGATTAATAAGGAAACAAGTAGTAAGCATAACATCACTCCAAAATCGTTTAGGAACACTCATATGATGAAGAATAGATCGAGCAGTTTCAAGGAGATGACGGTTCTTTCGTTCAACCACCCCATTTTGTTGAGGAGTGGATGCACATGAAGTTTGATGAATGACGCCATGCTATTCTAAATACTATTGAAAGGAAGTAAGAAAGTATTCACAACTGTTATTTGAACGAAGAACTTTGATTGGAACACCAAATTGTGTACGTAATTCAGCGTGGAATTTTCGAAAAATGGAAAATAATTCACTCATTTCTTTCATTAAATAAATCCATGTCATCCTTGAACAATCATCAATAAAAGTGACAAAATACTTGTAACTATTATAAGACTCTATTTTAATCGGACCCCAAACATCTAAATGAACCAAAGCAAAAGGACTCAACATACGACTATCAACTCTAGGACTGAAGGGAACCCAACGGTGTTTCCCATACTGACACAACTCACACTGTAAAGACGACAAATGACTCAAAGACGGAACCAATATCTTGAGTGCCTTGAGAGATAGATGCTCCAACCGACAATGCCATTGTAGAGGAGTGAGTGAAGTCTGAAGTGCAACTGACGATCCACCACCGTCAAGGCAATACAATCCATCGGCTTCATGCCCCCCACCAATCTTCTTCCCCGTCTTGAGATCTTGAAAAACACAGAAAGAAGGGAAAAATGTAATAGAGTAATTAAGGGTCTTAGTTAATTTACTGACTAACATAAGATTGAATGGAAATTTAGGTACATATAGAACAGATGATAAAGAAAGAGAAGCCGTGTCAACATTACCAACACCACAAATGGGAGAGAGGAACCATTGGCAAGGGTAACAGTTTGAGATGTGGAAGTTTCAGAGAGAGAAGAGAACACACATGGAGTCCCGGTCATGTGATCAGAGGCTCCARAGCCAATAATCCAGGGAGAGGGTTTGGATGCCAGACAAGCTATACTTAAGTGTGCAAGGGTGGCTGTAGTATGTTGTGAAGTAGCGGAGGAACCTCTCATACTCATCGCGTGGTACCGGTACACTCATCATCTCCTTCCCGGAAATAGATGTAGATGTGGAAGGTGTGAGATCTGGCTGTTGGTTATCACTGACATCAACCCCACCAGCTACTGCATGATTAGCCCATGTAGAAGGTGGGCCATGGAGATCATAATAGAAATTCATTGAATGTTCGTCCCTGCCATAGTGGGTACGCTTCCTAGTAGAGTTACTTTTCCCTTTACCCTGGCCTCCCCCTAAGTCACGACCACCACCACGGCCAAATATGGAACCACCATGACCTCCTCGGGAAGCATGTCCTCCCCCTCTAGTACCACGTCCGCCTCCTCTGGCTATCACAAATGCTGATCTGTCAGACGGTGTGGGATTCTCTGTAGATCCCAGAGAAATCCTGCGAAGCCGTGCAAAAACTTCCTCAAGTGTAGGAAGAGTAGAGCCACCCAATATTTGGGCCTTAACTAGTTCATACTTTGATTTCAACCCCACTAAGAACCTAGTGACATCTAGTTGCTCCCTCTGTTAGTGCTGAACCTTAACATCTGGAGTGGGGGGATGATAGACATTGAGTTCATTTCTGAGGTTCTTCATACTGACATAATACTCTTCTAGGGTTTTATTCCCTTGCTGTAGATCAAAATACTCCTGATAGAGCTGATATACCCTTGTAGTATTATCCTGCTCAGAATAAAGCTTCTTGGCATGTTCCCATATGCCCTTAGCTGTATCTAAGAACATAAAGTTGGCACTTATTTTGGGTTCCATATTGTTCCATAACCATGTCATGATTTAGGCATCTTCCTGTTCCCAGTCATCAAACCCTGGAGAGTCAGCTGATGGTTTATCTTCCTTCACATGTTTCACTTTCCTCTTTGTCTTGAGGAAAACTTTCACTAACTTGGCCCATGGCACATAATTCTCACCATTAAGTTTAATGGAAGTCATCTGCACACCTAGATAGTCAGAGGGGATCATCACACTCAGTTTCTGATCACTAGAACCATCTCCTGTTGCTGCCATTATGTCCCCCACTGTTATCTCTAATGCTGAACCCTCAGTCACCAACCAAATACTGCTGTCAAGGCAACACGACAGCACACTGATAACAATCTCACAACTAGTCACAATCAACAACTTGATGTAGACTAACATTCAGGTTAAGAACTGGATATTTTAACCAGATTCGGCTACCGTCCAGATTAGAGCATTGATGAAAGCTACTAGGCTGAGGTATTCGGCCACTTCTTTTAGCACATTTTTTTTTTCTGTTCACACCACTACTGACACCCCAGAAATATTAGKCACCATTACAACAACACAACACTCAAGCAACCACACAAAAAAAAATTTCTGTTCACACCACTACTGACACCCCAGAAATATTAGTCACCATTACAACAACACAACACTCAAGCAACCACACAAAAAAAAATTTCTGTTCACACCACTACTAACAACCCAGAAATATTAGTCACCACGACAGCAATGCAACAACTCAAGCAACCACACACAAACCCTCTTGAAATTGTTCAGTAGAGGGTAAACACCACCACATGACTAGGGCTGTCACACATGGTGACAGCAGTATTAGGCTGATATCCTAGGGCTGCCGCACCTTCCTAATACTTGTAATAGTGATTGCAGCAGTCCTAAAATAATAAATAACAGATGCCACAGCTATCAGACTGTGTACCTCAGATTTGCAGCCCAGAGAAGAAGAGAAAAGGAGGAGAGAGAACTTGAAGTTGCAGGATGGAAACCTTGAAGTCACAGCCTTCTTCTCCTTTGTTTATGGCTCTGATACCATGTTTTAACAGCTGTGTTTAAGCAGTTCGGACCAGTAGAGAGAAAGGGAGAAAGAAGAAGAAGAAAGAACAAGAGCAGTCAAATCTGATAGATAAACTCTATCAGTCGACCATAACGTAGATTAGTCTCTAATTAATTGTACAATGACTAAACTGCCCCCACTTAAGTATGGGACAGGAAGTCTCTATTAGAACTGCCACATAAGCACATAACTAAATAAAATCACTAATCTACCCTTATTCGGCTAGCTCTAACAAGTTGATAACTTCAGTAGAAAGGCACAACCCTTGTTTATTTTAGCATTAATAGAGATTGATTTTGTAGTTCATGAGTTTCATGCTGCATATATATGTTTAGCCATAAATTTATGTACACTGTGGTGCTAGTTGATTCCTAACATACAACCATCGACAGGACATCATTTTCAGATTTAAGGAGAGAAGGGAGGGAAAGAGAGCATGGAAGTGGTCTGAATTCCCTAACAAGGTTGCAGTACAACTAAATGATACACATCCTACTCTTGCAATTCCAGAATTGATGAGAATACTAATGGATAATGAAGGACTTGGCTGGAATGAAGCTTGGGATATCACAAAAAGGTGCATTACTTGGTGCTAATGTCCTTTTCCAAGTATCTAAGTTACTAAGTCCTCCTATTGCTATTTCATCTTGGGTTGTTTTTGGGAACATCTGATGTAATGGTTATTATTTGCTCATAGACTAACAAAGTATTTTTATGAATCAGAACCATTGCTTATACTAATCACACAGTCCTCCCAGAAGCACTGGAGAAATGGTCACAATCTGTAATGCAGAAGCTTCTACCACGTCACATGGAGATAATAGAAGAAATTGATAAGAGGGTAAGCCTTTTTAACACTTTCCTATTTCTTCCATGTATCCAGTCTTGTGTATAATGTGATGCAAAAAATAAAGGTCCAGTCGGATCACTATCAAGCTAGAAGTTGATAAGGTTTTCTTGATCATTATTGGAGCATAGGCTTCTTAGAGAGAGACCAATGAAAAAAAAATCTATTGGAAAATGGAGGGTGATGATCTAAATTCTGCTAATAATTCTCGTATCAGATGAACTAAAGTCCAAAAGGCCATTCAAATATAACTAAAAAAGACTACTTACAGTGATCTTACAACATCCATATGTATTGAAAATAAAACACTACAAGCCAAGTGTAAAATCTACTGCAAATATTGTTTCTAGCTGCTCTTTGAAATCCTATGTAGCTGCATCTTATATTAAGGAACCTTTCCCTCTTCTCTGTTTTCAAATTTCAAGTAATGAGAATTTTCTCTATCACTTGTAAAAATCAGTTAATTTGACTTGAGTAAAATTAAAATTTAATAGAATACTTCTAAAAACCATCACCAGAAAATGAACCAAAGGATTCATAAAAAATGATATTATTCCCAGTTAATTGGAAGAAAAACTCATACATGAGCTTTAATATGAGCAATAGTCACCATGAATAAATGCCCTATCTGACGTATAATATTTGCAAAATTTTAATCCAATCAAAACAGACAAATGAATGTTGTAGCCAACAAGACAATAATTGAGGGAAAAGGCTATTAAAGGAGAACCTATTTTCTTTTCATACAGGTCTAAGAAGGGAAAAGTTCCTTCCTCCCTTGCACAAGGACTTGTGCCCTGTTCAATCTCAGAATTTTATTTGAGAAACTAATGCCACCGTTAATATTTGATTCACCATGTCATATTGTCATTTAGCTCAATTTCTAAGAACCACATTCTCTCTTATTTCAAAGAAATATATTTGTGGAATGTCAAACTTCAATTACCTTAAAAATATGGATAAAAAGAACAAAAACAAGAGAAAATCTAGCGACTTACAGTCTGCTAGGGATGCAAATGGGTCAGATTTAATCTGATTCAAATTCAAATCCAAATTGTCGAAGTCAGATTTGGATTTTTTTTGTCATAATTGGACCAAATTGGATCTGAAAATATGATCTATTTATTTAATCAGATCAAATTTGGGTGTTGCTTGATTCAGTTCGCTAGGATCCAATCCAATTTTATATTTACGTATATAAATCACCTTTTTGCAGTATTAAAATTCTTTAGGATTAAATGGGATTTGGGATTTAGACAAACCTAACTTTTCTATTTATAGTATATATTTCTTGTTTTATATTTATGCTAATTTTGTACAAATTCATTGACATTCCAATCAAATTGAATAAATGAATCGAATTCAAATCCATGTTTTACATATCATTTGGATATTGAATCAAATTTGGATCTCTCAAATTCTTATCAAATTGGATTCAGATATACCCTTATCTGAATTCAATCCAATCCATTTGCAGCCCTATAGCCTGTTCAGCACTATGTGCAGTTTTATCATTCTAGTTTTTCATAGTATTTGAACCCACACAGCTGCAATCTGAAACGGGTTCAATTCTTGACACTTCAATATATTTTTTGTTCTGTTTTTATACTAACAACTGGGAGTGGATTCATTTCTGGGTGTGTGACAGATGTATTTTAATTGTTATTTATGAATGAAGTTACCATTTCCAAAAATGAAAAAACTGAGCGGATTCATTTTAGATGGTGTTGACCAAAATCATTTCATTTCACATCGCTTTCCAAGCCCAAATAAATAATTTGCTTGGGAAAACATCCTTTTGAGTCCTTGACCAAAATCTTGATCATTTATTGCTTCATTGATGATTTTTTTGCATCTTCAGTCCAATTTCTGACAAACCCATATGAAAAATAGAAGACTTCAAAACCATACTACAAATGAAATTTAGTCAGGACTTGGTAGTTTGATTTGACAACATACCATATGGTACTGTAGTTGAGGATACTTCAGTCGCATATGCTTGGATATTGTGATCTTGGGATTTTTTGTATTCCTTATCTTTTGAATATTCTTGCAGTTTATGGCCATGATACGCTCCACTCGAATGGACCTTGAGAGTAAGCTCCCTAATATGTGCATCTTGGATAATAATCCCCAAAAGCCAGTTGTGCGGATGGCAAATTTGTGTGTGGTATCTTCACATACGGTAAGACAATCATTTATTATCATTTCAATTAGTGTAATTGACCTTCCTCTTTCTCCCGATTTTGTTGATGCTCTGCATTTCAAAAAGATCCAAACAAAAAGGTCCATTGTGCAAAGATAACAGCATTTCTTTCTCAATCAACCAATAACCTTAAATTAACATATAGCCCTCAGTTCCACATTACCGTCTAATTACATGGAGAAGGTTGATTTGTAATACGTATGCTCAACAAGCAACAACATAAGCCGCATTGCTATGGCAGCACAAGCTTTGTATGCTTATTTGTATGTTTGACATGGGTTTGTCAGCTGAGCATCTAGAGAAGAGACTTAAATGATCCAGGGTTCTTCCATGAGACAACATGACGGGGCCCAAAAGGGCCCAGCCTTTTCCCTTGGGGAAAGTATCATCTCAGAAGCCCTTGTAATAGCACATTTTTAAACTATTTTCTGCTTTTTGTTAAGTGGTGCATACATATCGTATTAGTTCACAAAAAAGGGAAAGAGGCCAAAGTTCTCATGCACAAGTATACAGCCTTTTCCTGCCTTTTTTTAGTAGAAGTTGAAACTTGGATGGCTAATAATATCGTTCTGGGAAAGTTCCAATAATAAATAAGATGGAGCTGGTGTTGATTTGGGGAGAAATATGGTATGGCTAATGCAAAGGGTCTCCTATCTAATAGATGATGTGGATTGGCTATATCATCTATCCACATGGCAGAAAAAAGGTTGGTCATTAGAAAAGAAACCTAGTAGTAAGTACTCATTTTATACATATATTTTATTTGTTATTGATTACAGAAAAAAAACCACATTTACTTTATTTGTTTTTTCTTAAAATTTATTCTTCACTTTATTTTATTGTCATATTAGCTCCTGACTTAGTCTGAACTGAAATTGACAAGAATTTGTAATATGGTCATGTCTAACCATAATTTTTCCTAAACTTCATCACATCTATTTTATTTGTTGTCGATTACAAAAAAAGATCACATCTATTTTATTTGTTATTTTTTCATATTTTATACTTCATTCTATTTTATTGCCATATTAGCTGTTGACTTGAGTCTGAATTTGACAATAATTTATCTATGCCCGTCTTTATGTAGGTAAATGGTGTGGCTCAGTTACACAGTGATATCTTAAAGGCAGAGTTGTTTGCAGATTATGTTTCTATATGGCCCACGAAATTCCAGAATAAAACCAATGGGATCACTCCTCGCCGATGGCTCCGTTTTTGCAGCCCTGAGCTTAGTAGTATAATCACCAAATGGTTAAAGACTGATCGATGGATTACTGACCTTGACCTCCTTTCCAATCTTCGTCAAGTATTTATTTAAAAGATTAACAAAGCATGTTTGTTTTTTTCCTCATTTCTCAACATTTGTTCATTGTATGTCATGAAACCACTGACCTCTATGCGACAGTTTGCAGACAATGAAGAATTGCATGCTGAATGGGCATCTGCCAAAATGGCTAACAAGCGTCTTTTGGCTCAATATGTATTGCAAGTAACAGGTGTATCTATTGACCCCAATAGCCTCTTTGATATACAAGTTAAGCGCATCCATGAATATAAGAGACAGCTGCTGAACATTCTGGGTGCAGTATATAGATACAAGAAGCTAAAGGTATACAATAGTCCCAACTATCTAAATGCAATTTTTTTATCATGTTGCTTAGGTAGTATTAACAATGAATGAATGAAATTTCAAGACTCAACAAACACATCCAAGGCATGTATCTTCTAATGGATCCAATGTCATTCCCATTTAGAATATCTTCTGTTTGTTTCTTCTTCAATAAAAAGTTACCTTTGCTTCAAAAAAAAATCAACCTGATTGTTCCTAACCCTAAATAACCTGATGGAGTATTCTTTTGATGGTTCACTGGCTCATTGAACCATCAGAAAAAATACAACTGATTTTTAGATTATATATATATATATATATAAATGATTTGACTGTTATGTCATCTGATTAGATTGGGTCCAGCCTACCACATCTCCTGAGTAGGTTTTACAATACATCTTTATAGATGGTATTATGAAAACATTTTGTGGATAGATTTACCCTGGTCAATGGATCTGTTTCTGGATTTCTCTTACAGAATCCGTGTACTGTTGCCAAATGCATAATATTTTTCACTGTATGCCTTATGATGCAGTTGTATGTTCATCTTCTATACTTATTTCAGACATACAAAGAAATTCAAATTCACTTCATATGATACATTCTTTTTTTTTTTTGTAATTGTATTCCGGTTAAATTATTGGTTATTTGAAATGCCTTATTTTAGGTTAATATTCTCATTCTGAAATGTCAAGATTGGCTAATTTGCCAAGTTTCTTTCCTTGACTATGTTTTTCCAATGATAAAAACCAATATTTTCATTATTGAATTATTGAAAGAGATTCTATATAAACATGCCAATGAATTTTACATTTGCATTTAAGACAATAGAGATTCTGCTTGAGATTTGATAGGTACATGTTACACTGTTTTGGTGGCTGCAACTTAAATGCATGTCTTTAAACATGTTTCATAGGAGATGAATGCTGAAGAACGGAAAAAGACAACAGCAAGAACCATCATGTTTGGAGGAAAAGCATTTGCGACATATACAAATGCTAAGAGAATAGTCAAACTGGTGAATGATGTGGGGGCTGTTGTCAACAATGACCCGGACGTCAACAAATACTTGAAGGTAATAGCATTGGCTTTCATGGAGCACAATCTGCTTACATTGTGACTGCAAAGGTGCAACTTGATTTGAATATATTCTCAGAATTAGTTTTATTTCTCTGATATTATTGACCATGTTGAAATTCAATTAGTTTTTTACACGTCAATGCCACAAGTGCAAGTATTAGAACGTTGCATGCTAAGAGTAGATATGGAGTGATCAACATAAAAGGTCATTACCCAATGATGGTACTGATTTATCCAGGATCTTGGGAGGGCTAGACCAGACATGGACCTAAACTTCGGTATTTTGTAGCACAAAGTGGCTGCTCTCACCTCTAACCCACATTTTCTTCCTTGCCAGACGAGGATTTTTCCACTGCACCAAGAAATTGCCCCTATATGGAGTGATCTACATCCTACACCTGAAAATGATGGAACTGATATTTCCACAATACGAGCAGCTACTGATTTATTATTGCAAAGAATAGAAACATCTCCCCCCCCTCATCATCATCATCATCCATGCCTTATCCCAACTATATGGGATTGGCTACATGAATCATTTCCCCCTATAGAGGGATTTTGCTATGCTGTTAATTAGGGGTGAAAGAAGTATAAATCACAAATACCCAATATACGTTTCTTTTTCTGTTAAACTGGTCGGTCATCCATCACCAAAAATATCAACCAATCAGCCACCTATGCTTATTGATTTTGCGAAATAGAAGATTCGTTTTTATATATGTTACTAGGAATATAAGAAATTGACCGAGCAGCACGTCAGTTGGGCATTCTGGATCAAGACATGGCTTACCAACTGGGCAGGTGTGCAATGAAATATGGAGTTCCTATGACATTATAGTTAACTCAGCCTTGATCAACTGTCCAGTTGTTATCAAACCATTCAAATAAATTGATTTCAATGTTAAGAAATGAACCTGTTTTCATTTTTTACTGGAAGTGAATCTTTTCTAGGTAATGACACTGTCCACTTACTAGCAGTGCCTTGGATGTCATGTCAAGTGCAATTACTTCATTTTAGTTTTGAATTTTTGAATCATATAGAACAGTATTTTTTCTTGGTATCACATATTACATATGGGTTTGATCCCATGCATATTACACATGGGTGGGGACAAACCAGGGTGCATGTGAGGTCCACTGACCTTACCACAGAGAGCCTGCAGTTACATGGGTTTGATCCCATGCCTCCATATTCAGAGGGATGCTGAGTGACCATCTCAGCTACTGAGTCATCAGCATATAGAAGTGCATTTTTCATTAGTACAGAAATGTGTGAATTTTCATAAGAAATGTGCAATGCACCAATATTATAGATCTTCAAAAATGCCACAAGGCATATATATTAAGTACGCCAAAATCTTTATTCCACATATGTGCCCATATTTACCAATTTGTTTCGCCATACCATGTGCATTTACCGATCTTTTTGTTGTGTTTGCATTCTTGTTGACAAAATATTGAGATTAGGGCATTGTTGAGTATAGTAGGCACTGAACTATACATTAACTTTTTGGACACTGTAATTATGCCACATATGCATTATGTAGTACCTACTGTCCAAAATAGGATATTTCTAGTTGAAAACAAGAGACTGGTATTGAATTTTTGTGAGTATCCACATGTGGAATATGAATATCGCACATTGTTCAACATGGTCAGGTTTTCATCCAAAGGGATTATCCTTCTTCCATAGGTTAAGCCACCAGAGAAAAAGTTAATGATGCCTCTGGTAATGGTAAGGAAACCAAGTAATTGTACTTGTATTGATGTCTATTATTTGTTGAGGTCAGAGGCTATTCCATAATTATGTAAATGGATGGAAAGATTGATCAAGTCATACACCTAGGACCATATGTTATGGCACATCTTTGCCAATTTGATGTCTTCAGTTGTTCATTTATTTTCCTTTGAGCTTTACATTAGATGGATAATCTCCTTGGGATAAATTTGTTCTAATTCCCACATGTTTTCAGGTTGTTTTTGTTCCAAATTACAATGTATCTGTAGCTGAAATGCTCATCCCAGGAAGTGAGTTGTCACAGCACATCAGTACAGCGGGCATGGAGGCAAGTGGTACAAGCAACATGAAATTCTCACTCAATGGTTGCATCATAATTGGAACATTAGATGGGGCTAATGTTGAAATCAGGGAGGAGATTGGTGAGGAGAATTTCTTCCTTTTTGGTGCAAAAGCAAATGAAGTTCCAAGGCTACGCAAGGAGAGAGAAAATGGACTGGTAATGTGCTGCAATTTTTCCAAAATGTCTGGTAACATTACATAGTTACCTTCATTTAGTTTGTGGAAGTAAAAGAACATCCCTAAATGTTTTTATTATTCGTAATTGAGGGAACAACTTTTCTTCATCCAAGGGCAATAATTTTCTGGTGTTAACCTTCAAGAGATTTTGTGACTCATTTCTGCCAAGATTCAAGAGGGGTTGTTATATAACCTTAAGTTTGGTAAAATCAACATAGGATTTCTGGTGTCAAACTTGGGTGCAATGTAACTAAGCAGAACAGATACCACAAATCTGTTTTTGGTTCTTTAAATTGAAGTGGATTTGGAAATGGAATTGATCCCAATTCCATGTTCAAATGTTAGGTACACACATCTTGAGGTGGAATTGGATATGTCAAACCCCATCAAATCTCTGAAAACTGTTGTTTGGGCACTTTTCTTGGCATCATGGAATTCATAGAAACACTGAAGCATGTACACGAATTTCATGTTTTAGTGGAGTTGGAAATCTTGTCAGGGGCTAGTGATTTCATTTCTGTGGAATTGAGGCAGAAATGGAATTCAAATCTATTCCACTCCTGCAAATCAAAGACTGCATAAGTAATTTGCATGTCCATTGTTTGTTACAGGTTTACAAAAATCTTGGACCCATTACTAGAATTTCTTTAGGGTTGTATAAATTGAAAACACAATATCATATCTTGCTTTTGGATCCTTTCACTACACAATAGTAGTGAGGGGAGCACCATGCCATGCATCTTAGTAATACATCTTAAATTAACATTCCTTGCATTCTATTGAACATTCTCATATTCCTTTATCTGGTTTAGTCATAGCTTCTATTTTTACAGTTCAAACCAGATCCACGGTTTGAAGAGGCCAAACAATTTATAAGAAGTGGTGCATTTGGAAGTTATGATTATAATCTACTCCTTGAATCCTTGGAGGGCAACTCTGGCTATGGGCGTGGTGATTATTTTCTGGTTGGTCAAGACTTCCCAAGTTATATGGATGCTCAAGCACGAGTTGATGAAGCTTACAAGTAAGAAATAACAACATCCCGCATTCCTCCTCTATTTTACCAGTGTTCCATTGGTGCATGAATTAATGCATATGGCATCATGCATTTACAGTTTGGTGCATGCACTTGAATCTTCTTTAACTGGAAACCGCAATGGATGTTCCTTTTCTTATCAGACATTAAGGGGGTGTTCGAAAACATGGTTGGTTTTGTTATTGAAAACAAAAACAACTGTCATGTCAACAAAAACAATACAGTTTTGCTGATATGGCTGTTGTTTTTGTTTTCAAAAACAAAATCAACCATGTTGTTGAACACCCCCCCTAAAGCGTTAATTAGTTGATCTATTTTCAGTTCTGAATTTATTAATAACCAAGTAATCAAAAGGTAAGAATAGTATTTTCAGGTTTTGCCAAAATGCAAGTTTAGGTGGCCCGCTGATGTTTTCTTGAGTTGGTAAAGTATCCATGCCCCCAACATTGCAGGTTATTTTAAAATGGATGTTGTGAAACAGAGACACCACCTGCTGGAAAATAGTGCTAATGTTGCACCATCATCATGTGCCTGCCTAATGGCAATGCATCTATGAAGAAATAGCTAAAATCACACATTTTACATTTACAAACTGGAAAAGTCAAAGGTACCAGCTAGCTTACTGGTAAAGTGATGTAGGACCAGCTCAGTTCTAATTCTTAGAGAATGTTGAATGGTCTTCTTGATCAGAGTTTTATGGCTCACTGGCTGTCAATGGCTGTAATGGATTCTTAAAGGTATAAGAGAGAAGATAGGGAGAGAAAGAAGAGAGAAAATACCTGGAATCACTCACAGGGTGCCTAGAATCACTCACCATAGCTAGCATAAGCTGAAGAAAACGCAATATGATTCATTGCCTTTGAGGACTCAAACTAAGCTGTCATATCCTATTTCAATTCAAAGAAGACTCAATAACTCTAATCCTACTTATGTAATAACTCTGAAATTTTAAACATAAACAAACTGTAACTAAAAAATTTAAACCATATTATTGGACCCCACAAAAAAATCTAAATGACAAAAATACCCCTACTGTCCAAAAATACGGAAATACATAAATTATCATAAAATTCTATTTTTGACTCTTCAGCTCCTGCATCATTCTCCCCCGGTTGAAAAAAACTCGTCCTCAAGTTTTGAAGAACTTGAGGATGAAAAGTTGATATGCCCCAATTACAAAAGGAGTAGGACTTCCCACAGCTACATGCTTGGATTCCAGAGTAGAGGCCACACATAGAACTAGAAAAGGATCTTGAAAGAAACATATTTCTGAAACACTACCTTTCATAACCATATTTGTTAAATCATCAATAACATTAGTTTCTTGAACATTTAATTCATCAACTAGCCTTTGTGATGAATCTTCCCCTCGCTTATCCAAATTCTCAACTGCAACATTTGGAACTTTTCCTTCAACTTCTAGCTTAGGAATCACCATCTCTATGTGTTTTGCTATCCTTGGTTCTTCAACATACTCTAGGACTCCTTCCATTGTTGATGTTGGCGGAACTTGTGCTATGTCATGTTGTAATTCTTGAATTAGTTCTAGTTGATCTTGCAACATAAGGTCACTTACTTCCATACTAGGATCTACTACAATCAGCACATTTGTATCTTGCACATGAATTTCCTTAACTTGCTCCACTTCTATTTCTTCTTGATCAGTAACCTCAAGCTGATCGTGGGTGTTGGAAACTCCAACAATTTCTATTTTTGCGTGGCCTGCACCTTCTTGATTTTTAATATCTACAACTTCTATATCTTGAAATTCTTCTTCTTTAGCTTCATCCCCAACTTCAACTCTGGGATAACCATCAACATGCAAGGAATCATCTACTTTCTTTTCAACTTTGTACCTTCTTCCCATTGACTTCAAGTTCTTTGTTGTAACCTACCGCTTCTTTTGCTTGAAATTAGTCAACTCCATATATAGATCATCATGAAAGTCTAGTGGGATGTACTTTTCTTGCAAACACCTCTTCATCTCTGCCCATGTACTAATTGGATCATCGCCTCTATTTTCTAGTCATTGCTCAAGAGTTCTCCACCATACTTTAGCATGACCCGTCAGATTCATGCACACAAATCTAATCCTTTGTTTGTCAAGCATATCATGCCAATCAATTTATTGTTCTAGTTCAGCAACCCAATCAAAGAATGCTTGTGGGTCATCATCTCCTTTGAAATCTGGTATTTCCCTTTCTCTTCTAACATGTTTGAAAACCTTGCTCCCATAGCCAACATTATTAAATCTGTTTTCTTCCACCATCTTCTCAAATAAGTCAACCAAAGACCCTTCATATGGTTCAGAAACCCAATCATCATTGATTCTAAGCCTGTAAGATTGTCTAGAAGATACCCTAGGCCTATCGAATTAGTCACTTTGTGAGAACATAGTGAATAAACCATTAGCTCTGATACCAACTGATGTAGGACCAGCTCAGTTCTAGTTCTTAGAGAATGTTGAATGATCTTTTTGATGAGAGTTTTATGGCTGACTGGCTGTCAATGTCTGTAATGGCTTCTTAAAGGTATAAGAGAGAAAATAGGGAGAGAACGAAGAGAGAAAATACCCGGAATCACTCACAGGGTGCTTAGAATCACTCTAGGGCATGGGAATCACTCACCATAGCTAGCATAAGCAGAAGAAAACTCAATTTAATTCATTACCTTTGTATAAAACGTCCATACATATTTATAGACTTTAAACTCATAATAATCTTAGGAGTCAAACTGTTAGACTCATAATAGTCCTAGGAGTCAAACTGTTAGACTCAACAATCCTAGTAGGACTCAAACTAACCTGAATCCTACTTATGCAATGACTGAAATTTTAAACAAGCAAAATATAACTAGACAATTTAAACCCTACAAAAATTTGCAAAAATGACAAAAATACCCCTAATGTCCAAAAATACAGAAATACATGAAATATCATAAAATTCCAATTTTGACTCTTCAGCTCCTGCATCATAAAGTCTCTCGTTGGTTGTAGTGGAGACATGGGATAGAGTCCAGCCTTCATCTAGGTTGGGGGTTTAGGGATATGGGGGGTACTCTAATTCCCATTATCTAGCCTATTTGCCTACCAAAAAAACATCTAGGCAAAAGTCCAAATGGGGGACATAAATATTTACAAGGGGATTCCTAGTGAAAACAGGCTAAAACTAACAAGTCACTTTCCATTACCCCATGCATATTGGCCAAAATACCTTTGGAAAATTTTATGAAGTCCTAATTGGACCTTTCAACTCGAATAAAAATCCATACCCTAGTAGTAGCTTGAGTGTCAGGTATCTTGGTTTTGGGAGGATAAAATCAGGATATCCAGTGCTTTAACTCGAGCACCATTTTGAATTTCTATTTTAACTCGAGCACCATTTTCTAAACAGGTTATTTATTATTCCAGTTGTCACATCTTCCAACAAGCTTAGTCGAATTGATGATGGAAATCCATTTGAATGACTTTTGAACCCTTTGAAATTGTTTACTTGCCTGCAGGAATAGGAAAAGGTGGCTCAAAATGTCCATATTGAGCACCGCTGGGAGTGGCAAGTTTAGCAGTGACAGGACAATAATGCAGTATGCCAAGGAAATCTGGAATATCGAAGCGTGCCCTGTTCCATAGTTCTGAGTACAATAGCACATTAGTACCCAAAAAAAAAAAGAGTACAATAGCACCTTAACTACCATGTTATAAATAAAATTAACGTTGTGATGTTATAAACAAAATGTCCTTTGTTGAAAATGCTTATGGGACTTCAAACTGCCTCAAAGTTCAGTATGGTATTCCTCAAGATCTTCACTTCTTCAGTACGGTATGCCTCAAAGTTCAAATTTGACCCAATCGAACTGCCTAATTTTGTCTTTTGGAAGCTCACCCAGCATCCTCCCTTTGAGGTCTGGTACAAACTTCAAACCCACGAAAAGGCAGCCCCTCCGTCTAATGAATGCCAGTGGACTTGCACCCGGCACCCGGCCCCTCCGTCTAGCTATAGTGTCTTGTGCACAGGATGTGCCCACTCTGTGGTCAGCATACCCGACTCCGTAGAGTTTATTTCAAATTGTAGTTGGGCCTGGTAAAAAAGTCGATCCAACCTGCGAACCCAATCCAATTTGGAAAAAGCGGGTTAGGGTCCATTATCTAGTGACCCGGACTAGGTGACCTGACCCAACCCTCTCGAACAGTCAATAGATCACAGGTCGCCATCAGGTAACCTCTTTTCAAACCTGGGTTTGACCCAGATCATTAAATTCTATATTTTTTTATTAAAAAAACATTGATTTGGTCAAAGATTAGCTGATTCGAGTGATTGAACCATTGATCTGAGCCCAACTCAATTACCAGGTGTAGCTGCAGTCCATACTGTGCAAGGAAAACAACAATTTGGTCAAAAGTGGTTGAACCATTAATTCTAAGGGGGACAGAGAGAGAGAGAGAGAGAGACACGAGTAACAATATGTAATATTGCAAGCTACAATATTACCAAAAGATATATTGCAACCAACAAAGCAAATATAAACAATCATAAATTTGCATCAATGCACATAAATCCTTAACTACCTACTTGGCTTAGGTGCTTTTTTCACAAAACAAGGTCTCTTTTATTTCAGATTGTCACTGAGGTCCCTGAATCAGTGTGGTTTCCTTCCAAAATATTTCAGCTTCTCAAGCACGTTGGGCTTCATGATGGATTCGGTTGCTCAACAGATTGCGTTCGCAACATTGCCTTTTTCCATACAGAAATCTTGTTGTTCCTAGGCTTAGTTCGGTAAGAGTACAACATAAACTGAGCCTATGATCATGCAAGAAAATGAAACATGCGTCTAAATATTTATTACTGTTGCTCGGGCCTCAAAACTCACAATGCAACGGAATCTAATACCATCAATCAAAAAAAAAAAAAAATCAGCATGAGCAGTGAGCAGGGCGGATACTTAGAGACCATTTGATGAATAGATCATCAACAACGCTTGATCGGTTAAAAGTTTAAAGGATAAATTACTTGTACCTACCTTATGTTAAATGCAAAATGATGTCATACAACTCGTACCTTTTCACCCACACATTAAATGTACATCATCGAAGTAACATCTCAAGTAAATAGAACTACTACATTAGGCCTTAAGCCTGCTACCCGTAGTACCGTAACTGAAAGCTTTTCATAACAAGATCGAGATAGCTGAGTAATAAAAACACAGCGCAGTTGATGGCAGAAGCTAAACTTAGTCCCGTGACGGACTCCTTGATATGGGTGATCGGGACCTCGATAATGAACGTGAGCTAACACTGTTGCTCCTTGAATAGCTTTCACTACGCGAGCGACTCCTTGAACTCCTTCGTATTGGGGAGACGCTGCGAGAACAACTCCTCAACCTTGGAGAAGGGCTGCGAGAGTAACTTCTCCTTCGCCTAGGAGATGGACTATTTGAGTACCTTCTCCTTGAGCTCCTTCTTGGCCTTGGAGAAATGCTTCGGGAGACCGACCGATAGTGCCTCCTATAATAAGGTGAGATGGAGCGATCTCGTGGTGAGTACGACTCATCATCGGAAGAACATGAGTGTCTCCTATAGTAGGACCGGTATCTCCTCGCCACTGGCGACCTGCTGTAGGGGGACAAGGATCGTGAGTATGATCTATGCCGGCTGTAATATGGGGAGTATGATCTATCCCTGCCCATCTCAGAGGAATAACGTGGGGAACTGTATCGACTTCTGTGGTAAGGAGAATAACTAGGAGATCGACGACGCACTGCAATAAAGGAAGCCAGTTAATGGAGAAAACATTGTGGGAAGTGAGCACCGTTTGCACCTTCATTTAACAAAGAGATTTTCTTACCACGGATGGTTCTCACTCCAAGATACCTGCCAGGAGTTGGCGTTCGACCTCTTCTCCTCCTTGCCTGTGCACGGAAACCAATTACAATGTGAGACTATTGAAATACAGAGACCAGAAAAGTGTACAAGGGATTGAAAATCAAGAGGTAATAATAAATTTCTCAAAAGGGAAAGGAACACATGAACAATGTAATGAAATTTGCAATAATTAACAATAAATTAAAGCTGAATACGTTAAACTGCTTCAGAAGAGAGAAATGCAGGGCATACAACCCTCGGTTAAATGGTTGCTTCATGTTTGATTTGATTGTTTAGGTTGTGACAAGGCTTTGGGAGTTTGGTGAAGAGCTGGCTACACACAGCTACCCTGCTGCCAAAAACACTTCAGGCGAAAAAGAGCAAAACCTCTCAAAACTCGAAGTAATAAACTATCAATAATCTCCAATAATAACATATTGACTTAAGGGTATCCAAATGATTCAACCAAATTGCTGACAAATGAATACCATTTTGCCATATGGAAAAAACATTAAGCTATACCTTCTCCACAGTGATGACTCGACCTTCAAGTACTGAGCGATCCAGATACTTGATGCAGCGATCAGCCTCCTGAACCGTAGACATTGTGACAAACCCAAAGCCACGAGACTCTCTTGTCCAAGGATCTACAATAAGATGAACATCTATAACCTGTCGGAGTCAAGTAGGTTGATGAGTATGGTATAGAACTTGGCAAACTTGTGCAGTCTTACCACAGGCAAAATACACTCTTGAATGATTGTATATGGGAGATAACAGCATGGGTGAACCAATTAGAAACAAAACCATAATAATCAACCTAATAGTGGATGAATACTAAGGTTCTATGATGCAAAAGAACCCAAACAATCATGATTTCAGGATATTCTCATGCAAAACAAGCCTTGGATCATGGATACAGTGTCACAGGGTCTTGCATCTCTACAAAATCATTAATTAAAATGGAAAAAAATAAAGAAAAATACAAAGCATCCCAACTCTAGAACAAGAGTTGCAAGCATACCGTTCCTTCGCTTGAAAAATGTTTTTCAAGTTCTTTCTTTGTAATCCGGGGTGATATGCCTGTGACATAAAGATTGTTACCAGGGTTTTCCACATCACTTGAATCATAACTCCTGTCAACCATTGCACATGAAGAATGCACGATATAGATTAGCATCATCAAGACTTAACCAGCACTAAATATAAGAACAGCTTGGCAGCAATCCCCATTACCTAGAACGGCTCCTTGACCTTGACAGATATCTCGAGGGAGACCTGCTGTCCCTACTGTAGGGTGAACGGGAGAAGGAATACCTAGAATGCAACCAAGAGAAAGAAAACATCGTGGTGAATGAGATTGCAAAGGAACAAGGAAGCATTCAACTCAACATTCAAAAATAAGCATGGGAAAGGAGACACACCTTGATCGTCTGGAATACGACATCTGAAATAACAAGATGCGGAATCAGTAAACATCACCCTCTTAACAAAACTTAAGGAAGAGAACAAACAACCATACAGTGAATTATAGATAAGTGGCCAAGAAGAAGAATATATTCCTCTATAACTTGATAATGAACAAAGATAACCCAGATCATCACAAGGGGAGGGGATTGGGGAGGGGGGGAAGAGAGAGAGAGAGAGAGAGTCTCAATAATTTGCCACCCTAATCCGTATATTTGCAAGAAAAAAAAAATTCTAAAGCATGACATGCTAAACCATTCAAAATGAATATAAGTTTATCTAAAACAAAAGACTACCCATATCATCATAATCATGAGTTATAGCTTATAACCCACGTATTAATCGATGGCAAAACCGGCTATTAATAACATGAAACAACAGACCGCTATCTATCAACCCTAACTACTGAAAATGAAAACGAATATAAAAGTTGAAACACATTAACGAAAACAGAAGCAATCTATGAATCTAGTTACCCGACAATCCTAATTCGCAGATCAAAGGAACTTTAAAAACAAACCCTAGAAAAAAAAACTAACAAAGTTACAGTTAATTCCAATCAAAATCTGACTTTTTAACACAGAAACGTCGTGTCCTTCGAAATCGAGAACTTACCATAGCGCAGGATAGAACAGTTAAGTTTCAGACCCAGAAAAGATAGCTTTCCCTCAACCACCTCTTCCAGTTGCGGGAAGAAAATGAGACCATGTGGTTGCGAAATATGCGCATTATATAGTAGGAAGGCGACGACGAGAAGCTTCTCGAGTCACGGACGGGAAAGGATTTTAAAATCTCGTTGAATCCGTGGAGAATTTGATGTCCGTATTTGCACTTTTGCAGTTATGGACCTTATGGCGTAGGGCCCGATAGAGGAACTCGGATTAGCTGAACGCTTTAGTTGTTCAGCGGGCTAATAAATAAATAAATTCTGAGCCTCACCGTAAAAGACGCGGCCCCAAATAGTTGCAGTTTTTGGCAAATGTTCAGACTGTCTTTGATTGCAATACAAATAAATTTGCACTAGTGCAAATGATTTCAATGTAAATTCTGACCTATTTTGTTTTAAATTTTAGCTTAAATGAAGACATGAATGCAAATAAATTTACATTGCAACCAAATACAGCCTCAGCATCATCTCTCATTCAAGCTCAAACAATAGCGATTCTTAGTAGTCTCGAGGTTTTGAGTATGTACGAGGAAACAATTGAAGTGGAATCAGACCGTCAACTTTTGGTGCATGCACTTAAAATTAGAAATATGGATTTAATTTCGTATGCAAACTTTTTATGTTTAGATATAAAGCTACTGACTAATGATTTAGCTATCTCTTTTAGTTATGTAAATAGATCTTGTAATACTGCAGCCCACGTTCTTGCTAAAAAAGTGATGAGGGCGGATTTGGCCCTCCAATGACATTGTGACACATGGCATCACGTAACAATTGAGTGACACCCGGAACCACTTAGGCAACAACTTGCCTTAGCCAAGATGATGGTGTCCCAGCTGGCGACCTGACACTAACGCCGACCTAACGACCTGCCTTCACCGTTGACCTGGTGACTTGCCTTTATGCCGACCTAGCGACCTCGATCACAACTCAGGTTGGCTAGAAGCACCTCGTCCAGGGCCAACCTGCAGCACCTCGTTAGTCGTCACTGGCCGAAGTGACCTCAACGCAAGGAGTGACCTCCCTCGAGGGCGTGCTGGCCTGACTAAGGTTCAAGTAGCGACCTGCGAGACGTGCTCGCCGACAAATTCGGCATGCATATCCCAACACTCCCACGATCCTTGGAAGTTGGCCCATGTACCGAACGTTCCAGAGGATGGTCAACGTGCTGGGCGGTTGCCTCCGAGGATCTCAAACCGGTTAGGCACGTCCTCCCATAAATCTCGGATGTGGTACATGAGGCCCACATCAAACAAGGCCTATATAAAGGCACCAAACCCAATGGCACAAGGGGGTCTAGCTTGCCATCGGTCAGCTCGGCACCTAATCTGCCCCCAGCTCGGCCTGGTCAGCTCGGCACCTAATCTGCCTCCAGCTCGACATGGTCAGCTCGGCACCTAATCTGCCTCCAGCTCGGCCTGGTTAGCTCGGCACCTAATATGCCCCCAGCTCAGCCTAGTTAGCTCGGCACCTAATCAGCCCCCAGCTCAACCTGGTCAGCTCGACGCCTAATCTGCCCCCAGCTCGGCACCTAATCTGCATCTAGCTCGGCCTGGTCAACTCGGCACCTAATCTGCCTCCAGCTTGGCCTAGTTAGCTCGGCACGTAATCAGCCTTCAGCTCGGCACCTAATCTGCCCCCAGCTCGGCACCTGATCTGCCTCCAGCTCGGCATCTAGGTCCTCATCTAGCAAAAGTTCTCTACTTCGGCCTCTGAGTCATCGGTCACATGGAAGCAGACCGAATGACGAGGTACTTAGCACAAAAAATTGATTCATCAATTGGCGCCGTCTGTGGGAAACGCTACAAGAAGCTAAGTTCTCATCTTCTGAAAGGCTAAGTCCTCTTCTTCCAAAAAGCTAAGTTCTCACCCTTTAGAAACTAAAACTCTCACTTTCTAATTTCCATCTTTTATGAACTCAAAGGCACCTTTGAGCAACATCAACACCCAAAACAAATACCGATTACTGGGGGGCAAAAAACATCAACACCCAGCTCGACGTATTGATGTCAATGTGGAACAGGTAGCAACAGAATGACCTTGACAACTAGTAGTCCGGTGACAGGCACCTCGGTGTAAGGCTGTCCTCGTAGGTTGAGCCAATCATGATTCCCGCAGGAAGTTGATGGCCAACATACTAAGCACCTCTGCTGACTTTATTTCAACTCGGATAAAAACTCATCAGTCCTCTTCGCGAGGTATCCTCTACAAGATGAGCTCTTCATGGCTTCCGCGGGAGTTGGCGGCCAACGGACTGCATGGACGCCCTTGCCGGTCGAGCCTTCCAAAGCTCCCGTGCGAGCTGCTGACCTAAATTCAGTAGTGCTGCCCCCGTAGGTCGAGCTCCTAGTAGCTTCTTGTAGGAGTGAGTGACTGGCGTCACTGACGAGGCTGATGCAACACAACCGTAGCTCTAAGGTGCCGAGCTGGTAAAAGACCTCGGCACCACATAAGACCCAGTTGCCTCTTCGGCATGGGAAAAATCAAGGGTAAGGAGAGTGGACTGTGAGTTGCTCCCAGAACCTAAGGGCCAAAGTGTCGAGCTGATAAAAGACCTTGGCACCACATAAGACCGAGTCACCTCTTCAGCATGGGCAAAATCAAGGGTAAGGAGAGTGGACTATGAGTCGCTCCCAGAGCCTAAGGGCTAAAGTGCCGAACTGATAAAATACCTCGGCACCACATAAGACCCAGTCGCTTCTTCGGCATGGGCAAAATCAAGGGTAAGGAGAGTGGACTGCGAGTCGCTCCCAGAGCCTAAGGGCTAAAGTGTCGAACTAATAAAAGACCTTGGCACCACATAAGACCTAGTCGCCTCTTCTGCATGGGCAAAATCAAGGGTAAGGAGAGCGGACTGCGAGTCGCTCCTAGAGCCTAAGGGCTAAGGTGCCGAGCTGATAAAAGACCTCGGCACCACGTGAGACCTAGTCGCCTCTTTTGCATGTGCGAAATCTAAAGCAGTTCGCATTCAGCACGAGAAAACAAAGGAAATACTAGTTCGCTCTCAGCACCATGATGGATGCAAACTTGATTTCTTCATAGCCGACCTCCACCTCGGTTGCAGGCTCCGCATCAAACTCACTGGCTGGGACCAGCTCGAAGTACGCTGCGTCGAAGTCTACCTAGGTGGAGCGACCTGATAATGTAGTCACACAAAATCCCCTCTTAAGGACGGCATGATGAGCTTCACTCTTGAGGTACTTATCCGGATCGCAGAACCTCTTGATGGTCACATCCCTAATAAAGTAGATGTCCTCGGGGTACCTGCTCCACCTCTCCTCGAGCAGATGAATTCGCTCCCGAGCCCCGAAAATAAAGATAGCAAGGTCCTGTACAAGGCTGCAAACACTTGGACTCTTCCAACCTGAGAAACAAATTGAGTCGACACTTACGAGCTCATCGAATTAGTCATTCTAGACCAAAAAGAGCAATCTACTCCCTTCGTCGAGTTACTTTCAGCTCAGGAGTGGGGGGCAATTGATGAGGGTGGATTTGGCCCTCCAATGACATTGTGACACATGGCATCTCGGAACAACTAGATGACACCTGGAACAACTTAGGAAAGAACTTGCCTTAGCCAAGATGATGATGTCCCAACTGGCGACCTGGCACTAACGCCGACCTGGCGACCTGCCTTCACCGTCGACTTGGCTACCTGCCTTTATGCCGACCTAGCGACCTCAACCACAACTCAGGTTGGCTAAAAGCACCTCGTCTAGGGCCGACCTACAGCACCTCGTCACTGGCCAAGTTGACCTCGACGCAACGAGCGACCTCCCTCGAGGGCGTGCCGACCTGACTGAGGTCCAGGTGGCGACATGGGAGACGTGCTTGCCGACAAATTCGGCATGCATATCCCAACACTCCCACGATCCTTAGAAGTTGGCCCACATACCGAACGTTCCGGAGGATGGTCAACGTGCATGGCGGTTGCCTCCGAGGATCTCGGACCAATTAGGCACGTCCTCCCGGAAATCTCGGATGTGGTACGTGAGGCCCACATCAAACAAGGCCTATATAAAGGCACCAACCCCAATGACGCAAGGGGGCAAGTAAGCACATTCTAGCTCTCATACTTTATGATTTTTTAGCTTGCGATTTACTACTAGTTTACTGACTTAAGCATCGAAGTGATCTCGCCGGGTTAGTCACCCCGGGTCCTCTGACATTGATTGCTTGCAGGTTTCAACTACATAGCTCAACAATCAATCCAACTTGTCACCATTCAGTCAAGCATCAGAGTCACCTCTCCAGCTCGCCACCGGTCAGCTCGGCACCTAATCTGCCCCCATATCAGCTTGGTTAGCTCGGCACCTAATCTGCCCCCAGCTCGGTCTGGTCAGCTCGACACCTAATCTGCCTCCAGCTCGGCCTAGTTAGCTCGGCACCTAATCTGCCCCGAGCTCGGCCTGGTAAGCTCGGCACCTAATCTGCCTCTAGCTCGGCCTAGTTAGCTCAGCACCTAATATGCCCCTAGCTCGGCCTGGTTAGCTCGACACCTAATCTGCCCCCAGCTTGGCCTAGTCAACTTGACACCTAATTTGCCTCCAGCTCGGCCTAGTTAGCTCGGCACCTAATCTGCCCCCAGCTCGGCCTGGTCAGTTTGGCACCTGATCTGCCTCTAGCTCGGCCTAGTCAGCTCGACATTCTGGTCCTCATCCAACAAAAGTTCTCTACTTCGGCCTCTGAGTCATCGACCACTTGAAAGTAGATCGAATAACAAGGTATTTAACACAAAAAATTGATTCATAAAAAATGTCTAATTGAATTTGGGCTATTCGTACAAGATCCATCGGAGTGGATTCAAGCTCTAACCAACCAAGCCTTAGATAGACCTTAACTGGCTTTGTCTTCTATTTTGTGACTGTGTTTATTATTATTGTTATCAGCTTGATAATCTTTTACCAAAAAAAAAAAATAGAGTGGGTGTTCAGCTAAATCTTGCCCCCGACAGAGTGGATGTTCTATGATCATGGGCCTGGCCAGACAGCATATCAGCAGTCTTTAGGGCTGTCCGGGCCTGAGTGGCCCGCACCCAGGCCTCGCATTGAATTACAAACTACCATTATATACCTTTTTCCTTAGTATACCAAACAGAATCTTAAAGTAAATTAAAAGCTGCCACTATAATGTCCT